GCCAAGAGGAGGCTCATCCAGAGAAGAGTGGGAGGGAGAACAGGATTCTCCTTTTAGAGTGAGAGGTAGAGATGAGAAGGGTTTTTACCAACAGAAAAAGGCATGAAGTGGTCACTTTTCTTGAATTTCCCATTCTTATCCAGGAAGTGCTGTGGGTCAAACTGGACAGCCTTGGAAAACTCTTTGTTGTCATGCCAGACTGGGGTGAGCTCTGGGAATATTGTTGTGTCCTAAAGGGAAGAAATTCCAGAGGAGAGTCAGATATCATTATGAATATCCTTTGTATTCTAGTCCTAAAAATCTTCAGTGACTAACTATGTTCTCTACTACAAAATGCATACTTCTTTGCCTGTGCTATCAACTGAGATGTCAAGCCATTAAGAATCTGCTTAGTTTTCTATCTTCCTTATAATCTTAGTTGCATTGGCTTTGTTTGTGCAAAAACTTTACAATTTAACGTAATCAAAATTATCCATTTTGCTTTCCATAATTTTCTCTATCTCCTGTTTAGTCATGAATTCTTCTGTTCTCCATAAATCTGATAGGTAAACTATTCCTTGTTCTCCCAGTTTACTTATGGTATCAGCCTTTATGTCTAACTCATGAACCCATTTTGACTTTACTTTGGTATATGGTGTGAGATTTGGGTCTATGCCTAGTTTCTGCCATACTCTTTTCCAGTTTTCCCAGCAGTTTTTTTCAAAGAGTGGATTCTTATCCCAGAAGCTGGGGTCTTTGGGTTTATCAAATAATAGATTACTATAGTCATTGACTACTGTGTCTTGCATATTTAACCTATTCCACTGATCCACCTCCCTATTTCTTAGCCAGTACCAAGCAGTTTTGATGATTGCTGCTTTATAATACAATTTAACATCTGGAATTGCTAGGCCACCTTCCCCTGCATTTCTTTTCATTAGTTCCTTTGATATTCTGGACCTTTTGTTTTTCCAAATGAATCTTCTTATTATTTTTTCTAACTCTATAAAATAATTTTTTGGTACTTTGATTGGTATGGCACTGAATAAGTAAATTAGCTTAGGTAGGATTGTCATTTTTATTATATTAGCTCAGCCTACCCATGAGCAACTGATGTTTTTCCAATTATTTAGATCTGATTTTATTTGTGTGAAAAAGATTTTGTAATTCTGTTCATAGAGTTCCTGGGTTTGTTTCGGGAGATAGACTCCTAAATATTTTATAATGTCTGCAGTAAGTTTAAATGGGATTTCTCTTTCTATCTCTTGCTGTTTGGCTTTGTTGGTAGTATATAGAAATGCTGATGATTTATGTGTGTTTATTTTATAGCCTGCAACTTTGCTAAAGTTGTTTATTATTTCAAGTAGTTTTTTACTTGATTCTCTAGGATTCTCTAAGCATATCATCATGTCATCTGCAAAGAGTGATAGCTTTGTTTCTTCTTTGCCTATTCTAATGCCTTCAATTTCTTTTTCTTCTCTTATTGCTAAAGCTAAGGTTTCCAGTAAAATATTGAATAACCGTGGTGATAATGGACATCCTTGTTTCACCCCCGATCTTATTGGAAATGCTTTTATCCTGTCTGCATTACATATAATGCTTGCTGAAGGTTTTAGATATATGCTATTTATTATTTTAAGGAAGACTCCATTTATACCTATGCTTTCTAGTGTTTTTAATAGGAATGGGTGTTGTATTTTATCAAAAGCTTTTTCTGCATCTATTGAGATGATCATGTGGTTTCTGTTGGTTGTGTTGTTGATATACTCAATTATGCTGATAATTTTCTTAATATTGAACTAACCCTGCATTCCTGGTATAAATTCTACCTGGACATAGTGTATTGTTCTTGTGATAAGTTGCTGCAGTCTATTTGCTAGTATTTGAAGGTAATGGAATACTATTGTGCTATAAGAAATGATGAACAGGCTGACTTCAGAAAAAGCTGGAAAGACTTATCTGGTCTGATGCTGAGTGAAGTGAGCAGAACCAAGAGGACTTGGTACACAATAACAGCCACATTATGCAATGACTAAACTGAACCCTTCTCAGCATTACGAGGATCTAAGACATCTCCAGAGGCCTTGGGATGGAACATGCTGTCCACATCCAAAGGAAGAACTATGAAAGTCGAATCGCTATCACTTATTTTTACCTTCTGTTGAGATTTGTTTAATCTTTCTGATGGCTCCTCCTATTGGTTTTAATTTTTACTTACAACTTCACTAATGCAAAAATATGTTTAATGGGTATGTAAAGGTAAAGCCTATATCATATTGTGTACCTTCTTGGGGACGGTGGGGGGGAGGAAGGGGGAGAAAAATTTTCAACTCAAAAGCACATGGAAGTGATTGTTGATAAATCAAAATAAATTAATTAAAAAAAAAAGAATCCGCTTAGGCCCCAGTCTAGCTTTCCAGATTGCTGTCCCCATTATTGTCCCCATCAAGCCTTCCTTGGGGCTCCAGCTGAACTAGTCCAGCTGCTGATGCCCATCCACAAGGCCCCCTCTGTGGTCTTCATGCCTTTATAGTGACCATGTCCCACACCTGGAAGCCACTCCTTGCTCACTTCAGCCTTTTAGATTCCCCAGCTTTCTTCAAGGATTGGCTTGGGTAACCCTCTTACAGGAAACCTTGGCTGAGGTGCTAAGCTCTTTGTGCTCTCCCTACCCTCAGTTCTTTGGACTATACATCATGTCTGCACCTGCTGCCTGTGGGACTCTGAGCAGAACATACGAATGTCCAGTGCCCCAGGCAATGCTTAAAGACTCTAGGGGCAGACCAGGCTACCTCCTGAGGGAGTTTCTTCAGCAAGAAGCCACTTTGCCAATCAAATCACAGCTTGGGTCTGAAGGAAAGAAATAACACTTTAGGCTGACTTTTCTGATTCCAAACTCAGCTCCCTCCTGCACAAGCCAAAGTCTTCAACGGTCAAAAACCCTTCTATTCTCACCTTGTTTCAATAGCGTTTGGCCTAGCAATTTTCACAGGTTGGTTCTTACTGAAGCTTTGATGATTTGAACTGAGCAATGCCTCTGTGGGGTACATTAAATGTGAAGTTAGGTGTGATGCTCCCTTCACTTTTCTTTGAGGGAGACTAGTTTTGCTCAGCCATTGCTAGGAAACTTCAATCTAATTCAATTTAATTCATTCAATGTTTATTTAGCAACCCCGGAAAGCAGTATTTTAGAGTCTAAAAACCTAGGTTATCGTCTCAGCTCCAACACTTAAATGATTTAGGCAAGCCATTAGACCTGAGCCTCAATGTCACAATCTACACAATGGAACACAAAACGGTATTTATAAAATCCGCTTCACTGCCTAGTAAGAGAAAATGACAAAAACTTTCTCTTGAGCAATCTCACCCTGTTATGTTCCCTGCATATTTTCTTTCCAGAGCATTACTGTGGTGAATGAGAAGCAGGAAGAACAGAGATAAGGGCACACTTTTCTCTTATTCTTCATTTAGCACCACATGCAAGTAGGCTGTATGTAATAAAGCACTGCCTCAAGGAGAACTTTAAGTGAGATCATGACAATGGGACTCCATTTCTCATGTCCATGATGAGATCATTGGAATAAATAGTGTTTAACATCCCATTCTCCCAAGACTACTAACTTTGGGGAGGATATATCTTGGAAATGATGTCCTGGTTCACTGCATGGGGTACGTTGAGAGGTACGAGTCAATGAATCTTTGCACTTCATGCACCACAGCATCCATGTATGCATATCTTGTCTGTCCTTATGGAAGGAAGTCGATGTCCAATCACATTCAATTTCCTCAGAATTTTTGCTGCAGACAAAAAATACAAATCACCACTCAATGTTCCACTCTCCTGGAATTCTCAACTGAGCCTGTTGCAATATCTGCCGATGTTAGACCTGAGATGATTCTCAGATGAGCTCAGTGTCCTCCTGCTACTCAGTCAAGGATACAAAGGCTTCTGTAACAGCAATACCATAAACTTCCATGATTGACTGGTAGGACTCAGAAAATTGTGTTTACATTTCTCTTTAGACACTACCTGTGTAAATTCAGGCAAGTCATTAAATCTGTGAAAGCCTCATTTTGCTTATCTGAAAAATGAGGATCATAAATTATCTGTCTTCTAAGGTTCCTTACCCTCTAATCTATTATCCTATGATTTATAAAATGAGATAAAAACTGCACCTCCCTTAGCAGACATCAAATGAAATTACATGTCAATTATTTGTAACCCTCACATTCTTTATGATTATTATGCCAGCTTTATTGTCAAAGAAAGTCGATGCCTTCATTTGAATTTGTTAGTGCTGGTGATGCATTATCATCTTGATTTAAACCATTCACCAGCTCTGTATCTCAGCTCCTGTCTCAATACCCTGAGCTGCTGAGGCATAGAATCTCAGCATTACAGGTGACATGTTTTCACCTAGGGCCATCCATAGCTGAACAGGAATCCTGACTCTAATGGACTGAACAAAGGGTCAACCAGCCTTTGCTTGAGAATCTCTAGTAAGCAAGAACTCACTATTTCCTGCGCAGCTGAATGGACTTCTGGAGAATTTTAATAGTTGGTAAGTCTTTCCTTACATGAAGTCTCCATTTGTCAATTTGTAAGTCTACCTATACTCCTACTTCTGCTCCTTAGATCCAGCAGTACTACGCCTGGCAGAAGGCAAGCCATTTGAGGAAAGGGTGTTTCATTTGAGTCTTTATATGCTAAGCATAGAACTGAGGGTGCACAGTGGGAGCTTTATATGTGCTTTAAAGTGAATTGAATTCCCCTAATACAGACCTCCACATGCTTAAATAACTAACAGGTCTTGTTCAGGGTCCTGTTTTCTTCAATATGCTACTGTCTGACCTGTTGCTGATCTGTGAGGAAGTCATGCAAATCCAATAGGGGAAAGGAGAGACGAGCTCCTGACAAGCTGCAGGATGGGAAAGCAAGCCTGGTCTGAAAGCATGGCAGTTCTTGCACTTACCTTGGACCTCAGGATTTCAGAATGAGCAGCAGGCCATATCGTAGGGTGCTACTGCTTGTTCTCTGTTCCTGCGCTAAATAAATCTACTCCTGTCATTTTTACATTTTCCAAGTCAAATTCAGTCTGAGCATTATCTTTCTCCTAAAGCAGAGATACAAAATACATTAAGTAATGAGAGACAGCAGGAAAAGCCATTAGTAACCATGTGAAGTTCTTAAAGTTTCTCTTAGGAGTCCTCCCCCACCTTCATTTCCCCACTCTAAGACAGAAGAAACTTCCTAATGCTCTTAGGTTTCCCTTACCCATCCATAGGCGTACTTTTCCCAGGCAACCTTCTTCCCGTCCAGAAATACATAGTGAATAGAGCACTAGGCTTTGAATCAGGAAGATCTGAATTAAACTTTATTCTCAGCTAAGGGGTCTGTGTCCATGGGAAAGTCACTTAATTTTTCTGGGCCTCACTTTCCTCATATGTAACAGGAGACACCTGGATCCTTTCAGCTCTCTATTTATTATCTATGATATATGTGGCATGGTGACCTGATAAAGTAATTCACTCAAAAAGTTGATAACCTGCTAAGAGACCTTGCATACAGATACTTTTACTACAAAGCAGGACAGCATTTTAGTTTAAAAGAAACAAAAAGAAGAAGGGATTTCAGATTTTCAGAACAGGGAACTGAGAGAAAAGTCTTCGGGCAGGAGAATACAGAATTTCAAATTTTGTAGGGAGAAGGAAATTCAACCAGCCAATCTGTAACTGATCAGAAGTTTCCTTTTCCAAAACTCCCTTAAATTGTCAGCCAGCCCCAGGTTGAAGATTTCCTTACATGGGGAATTTATTACTTAATGAAGAAATGTATTACATCTTGGACATTATCCCCTTGTGTGGAGATTAAATGTGTCTCTGTAACTTCAAATGACTTGTGAGTTCTGTCTTCTGGGAAATAAGGAAGCGCAGGAATTCTAACCCTTTTCTGGGACAGCCTTAAAAATTAAGTGGCTGCTAAGACTCCTTCCAACCCACAGATTCTATGAAATTCTATGAAATACGCAAGCTCCTAGGATTTATAGCTAGGACGCATCTTGGAGATCAACTGGCCAAGCACATTCATTTTAAAGAAAAAGAACTTGAGGCCTACAGAGGTGAAACAATAATATTAAAATCAAAGCAGATCGAGTTATAGTACTAAATAAGTAATCCTGCAAATACAAGCTTCATCCTGAACAAAATAAGATGGACTTATAGCCATCAGTCTTGTAAAAATGAACAATTTTGAAAGATTTATGAACTCATGTCAATTCAACTAGCAAACATGAGCACAGAGTACTAGTGATGAAGAATGGTACCTGCCTTCTGAGAGAGAATTCATGGACTAGTATGTAGAAAGGGACACATTTTGGACAAGGCCAATATAGAAATGTATTTTTCTTCATTATGCTTGTTTGTTAAGAAGCCTATTATTTGTCTTTTTTCATTTGGTGGGAGAAAATAAATATTTGATAAAAGAAGACAGACTTCAAGAAAAAAGGGTGGGTTTCAGGCATTTCCTAAAAAACAGAAACTCAACATGAGTCAATTATTTGACCTGCAAAACTTCAAACCAGACAAGCATAAAGTAAATAAATTAATGAGAAAAGATAAAGCAATGGAATCAATACTCTCATGCTTTTATGTCAGCTTAACACTATTTTTAAAAAATCTCCCATTGGCCCAGGGTCCCTGGAAAAAAAACTGAAAATTGCAGAGGCAATAGAAACAGAGTGGCAATATATGGAGGGAGGGTGTTAAAAAGTTCTTAAGGATACCTTCATTTCAACCTGAAAGAAAGTCTCTAGTGAACAGTTCAATGATGTACGCCTGGTTCTGTAGTGTTTAACATTTTTGTCAGTATATGAAATCAGTCAATCAACAAGGAAGTATAAAATGTATTTTCTGTGCCAAGCAGAATGCCAGGTAATGGCGATACAAAAGCAAAGGATAAAACTAAGACAGCCCCTACCCTCTGGGAGTCTCGATTCTACTGAAGGAATACAATACATATAAATATAAGTACACATGGGATCCATGGAAAATACATACACAGAGATTTGGGTGGGATATTAACAACAGGAAGAATAAGAGAAGCTGCTTGAAAGAGGCAGCAGCTGAGTGTGAACGGATATTAGGGCTGCTAAGTGTTGAGGAAAGAGAGTGAGAGCATTCCAGGGAGGGGCCAGACTGTATAAAGGTAAAGAGGCAAAAGATGGAATATTGTGTACAAAGAAGAGCAAGCAGGGCAGCTTGGCTGGGCACAGAGGGAGGCTGTGAGAGGGAAGAATGTGTAACCAGCCTAGAAAGAGAGGCTGCAGCCAAATTGTGAAGGGCTTTAAATGCCAAATACATGAGTTAGTTTTCTCTTAGGAGCCCTGAAGCTTCCTATCATGGGAATAACCCAGAGAGTCTTGCACTTTATGCATGTTAACTTGGCAGATTTGTGAAGAATGGATTGAGGGTCTGGATGCTTGGAGAGCTGGTAGGAGAGAATTGTCACTGTCTGGGTAAGAGATGCTGGTGATCTGAACTAAGGTGGTTATGATGTGAATACAGAGAGGAAAGAGTTCATGACACTGCCATGATGGTGTTGGGGGGAGAGAACACATTTACTCTCTCCTCCCCACCTCCAGCCCTGAATTCTCATGACTTACTTGGACAATCAAGAAAGATCTTGATTTTGAGTGATTTTATGAGAGAAAATTATAGCTAGATTTTGAGATTATAGCTAGTATTTATACAATGTTTTAAAGTTCACCACGTCCTTTAGCAACATTATCTTAATGACCATTCTGGGAGATAAATGCTATTATCCCCATTTTACAAATGAGGAATATGACTTCCCCAGGATTACACAGCTAAGAAGTGTCTGAATTTGGTTTCAAACTCAAGTCTTTTTGACTCCAAGCCCTGCTCTGCATCCCATTTCTCCTGTTTAGAGCTTACTTTGTATACATTTGCTTACATATACTCTCCCTCATAAGATTGTGAACTCTTTGAGGGCAGGGGTTCTTTTTTGCCTCTTTTCTGTCTTTGGCACTTAGCAGAGTGCCTGGCATATAGTAGTTGCTTGGTAAATGTTTATTAGTCGATTCCTATTATCACTCTCCAATACAATATCCCCTTCCAAACAGGAAAGTCCAGATCACCAGCTCATCACCCAGAAAAGCAGAACTCTTCCAATCTCATTTTCCATACAGACTTCAGATCAGGGATATGGGCAGACCAAAGACCAGTTACTAGAAAGCCAATGGTGTCCTTGGGGGATGTGGGCACTTTGGGGTTCTCTCTGATGCCCCTTCCTGTGCTTGTGGCCTGTAAGAATCCTTGGAATATCAGTCTTACTCAACAAGTAAGGTGCTTCCCCATGCATCTTACCTGCTGCATTTTGGAGAGGTAGTAGTCAATGTAGTCCTGAGGGTTGTTGGGGTCCAGTACCTTCTGATGCTCCTTCACTCTTTCCAAAATGAAATCTTTAAGTTCCTCATTAATTTTTAAAATTCTTTTGTGTTCTCCAGGGAGGTATGCTCTGAATGCTGGTAAAAAGTTGTAGAGCGACATACACCTACCCCGCACCCAAACAAACACGTGTGAGTTTATTGTCATGAAGAAACTATTTAAAATCTCTAATTATAAATTGTTGTATCTTATTCAAAGCATTGCATTTCTTTTTCAAATTTAATTAAATTTTTCATTGACAGAAGTATTTTCTCTCTCATCTCCACTGAACATTGGTACAAACAAAAAAGAAAAGCAAAACCGTAGAAACAAATACACGTAATCAAGCAAAACCCACCTTGGCAATAGCCAAAAATGTATGTCCCACTCTACATCTTGAGTCCATTCCCTTCTCTCTCATAAGGTGGGCAGCATGGTTCATTGTGCTTCCTCTGAAATCATCGTGGCTCCTTGCACTGTTAGCTTACATTTCATGGTATTTGTCCTTCCAGTGTTTTTGTTATTGAACAAATTGATTATTCTGTCTTTGCTGTAGTTGTTCAGTTGTTTCAGTCGTATTTGGCTCTGTGACCCCATTTGGGATTTTCTTGGCAAAGATATTGGAGTGCTTTATCATTGCCTCCTCCAGCTCATTTTACAGAGACATACAGGGTTAGGTGACTTGCCTAGGATCATACAGCTACTTTGAGGCCAAATTTTAACTCATAAAGATGTCTTCCTGATTTTAGGCCTGGTACTCTGTCCATTGTATTCCCCATTGAAGTGACTTTCCAAGGGTCATACAACTGTTCTTCCTGCCTCAAATTCTAGCCCTCTATTCATTGAATTCCTTTCTGTCTCTAAATCTTCTGATCTTGTGATCCCTCAATCCAAGGAGCCATCAAAGGAATAGCCTTCTTAGACACTTGGGAGTAGTGAGCTGCTCTGCATAAATCCCAAGAGTGCCATGAATCTTCTCAAATATACCCCTAAGTTGACACATATCTCAAAACGAATCTATCTGGTGCTGCTCTACCCACTGAGGGGACCAGATGGCATCATATTATGTCGTTGTTCAAAAGAAGCTCATATTTGAGTTAAGAGGAAACCTACTTTCCTTGGAATGACCAACATAAAAAAAGAAGAAAAAGCAACATCAAGGTATCCAATTAATTGCATTAAATTCACCTTAAGTTAATGAAATGCATCGAGCATTTTTTCAGTACTCACTATGAACCAAGTCCTGTGGTAGGCTATGGTGATATAGACAACAATAAAGTAGTCTTACATTCTACCAGAGAAGGTTTAGCTAGAGTACCTATTCCAGACTGTAAGTGGAACACAACATAGGCAAGGGAAAAGAAAGCTTGTTTTTCAGCTGGATGAGGATCTTCAGTTCTGGCTTCAGTGGATGAAGGTTTTCATCCTACATGTCCATCCATTGTAGAGGCCGAGCCAGATCACTACAAGAATCAGTGTAGGCTACTGATCTAAGTGGCTTGCCCTTCCTATTCTCTCCTGGATATCCTGGGCAGGTTCTTTTTTGATAACTATTTTACTTGGTCACATCTGTGAAGAGATACCCCAGGCCCCAATTAAACACTTCTCCATATAACTTCAATTTTAATGATCTACAACTAGTGCAGGTGCCAACTAGGAACAGAATATCTACCTAATATCTTATTTGAGAGCCAAAGATACTGCGTGATGTTATTGTCCTTGAGTGACATGTGTGTGTGAATGTGTGTGTGTGTTCTCATGGGTTGGGACATTTACTAAGAGATGAGAGGCTATGGTATATTGATCTTGTTGCTGAAACTCAGCAAACAACCACAGAATAAGAAGAGAGTTCTGGCCTTACCTGTGTCCATGGTTTCTTAAAGAGGTGGAAGTTTTCATTTAACAAGTTCATCAGATAGAGAAATTTCTCATCATCGTACTTGAATCGGTCACGGAAGAGGATGGAGCAGATCACATTGCATGACACACAGCTAAGGATGAAGGTGGGATCAGTGGGCTGACCTAATGTGGAGACAAGTTACCAAAAGGGGGAAAAAGCAACTTTAATAGAAATGTTTCCAATCAGATGGGATATTGGGCATCATACTTGGATAGGGTGCTTCTTTAAAGGCTAATGAATGTTATTCTCCTGGACAATGTCTTTACTTATAGGGAGGCTAAATGAGCTTCTAATGCCTGAGCACGAGAAACAAGAAGGGAGTTTTCTGACCCGGCAGAGTTATTATCTGGTAAGTAGATGAAGGCAGAGACTTTTACACTGATTCCCAAAGCAAATAGCATTTAGGACTGGGAATGGGTGAGCAGTTAGACGCCACGTGCCCAGGAGGAAAGAACTGAAAACCAACCCTTTGTTTTCCTGAGCTCCTCCACCAGGCATTGGGCTTCTTCTTGAACTCGCTCTTCAACGCTTCTCTTCCCCATCCCAAAGTTCCTTAGGGTCATCAGGGTAAATCTGCGGTGTTGTTTCCACCTCTCTCCACGACTCAAAATAACTCCTAGAGAGAAGAGAAGAGGACATTGGTCATTCTTACATTGGAAGGGGAGGGCACAGTGTGTATGGTGGCTAAGGAGTTTCTGGCTTAGTTCATTGATCAAGTTTAATTTTATTCAATTCAAACTAAAATACAATGACAGAATGGTAGGTACCAGGTACCTACTGCAGGAAGTTCTTCTCTTAGGTACTGAGAATAGAACAATTAAAATGAAACCAGTAACTATGCTCCAGAGGAGCATAACACATGCTCAGCAGAAGACAACAAAGTCAAAGATCTTACATTCAAGCTTCCAAGAAAAAATATGAATTGATCTCAGGCCATGGAAGAGCTCAGACAGGATTTTGAAAATCAGCTCAGGACTTCCACTTCCAGGGCCAAGATGTCAGAGTAAAAAGGTAGTTGCTGCCACCCACCCCCATCAATCTCTGAAAACCCAGAAAATATCACCCCAGAAAAAACCCTGGAACAGCTGAAGCAGAAGAAAGACAGGGAACAGCAGAGAAGTAGCCCAGCCTCACTTTAGCACACCAGGAGGAGATCCTGGTGACTTGGCATTCTACAGCAAACCAGTCTCCCACTGTCTCAGCAAAAGTAAGGGAAGCAGCACTACAAAGGGCCCTAGGGGGGTAAGTACCCTACAGTATTCATCTGAAAGCAACTAAAGAAAGCAACCTAGAGTCCTACTAAAGTTCCAGCCTTGCTGGTTCCCGCCCAACACCAAGTAAGCTGTCAGAACCCTACAGTCCCCAGGTGACAAGCAGGAGGAGATCCTGAAGCCCAGGTGGTAGAGTAGGCAAACACCAACACCTCAACCTCTGAGTGCCTCAGGGAGGGTGGGGGAACTGGTGGAAATCAGCTCAGAAAACCACCAGGTGCCTCAGCATCCTACAGCAAAGGAGACTCTCAGTACCTCAGCAGATATAAGAGAGGGAGCATTGCAAGGGGCCTCAGGCAGATAAACCCTCTGCAACACCCATCTAAAACGAGCTGAAGAAAGCTAAAGGGAAGGAAAAGCAGGCAACCTGGAATTTCCTGACAGTTCCAGCCTTGCTGTGTCCAGCCCAACACCAGGTAAGCTGCCAGAACCCTACAGCCTACAGTTGCCAACATAAGAGGCCCCAGCACACAAACCCAGTGACCAAGACCTAGGCTCCCAACACAAGTAGCTTGGGTCTGTGCTATCTGATTCCCAGAAGGAGAGCTCAATCTCTTTAAAAGCCAAGGGATAAAGAAACACTATGAGTAAAATATAGATTCATATTATGAGAAGAGTGAAGATCAAGACAGAAATTCTGAAGAGGACAACATTGTCAACAAACCCACATCAGCAACACCAAAAGGGACTATGAACTGGTCTGAAGCCCAAAAAGCCTTCTTAGAAGAGTTCAAGCAGGGTTTTAAAAGTCAAGTGAGAGAGGTAGAAGAGTCCTTAAAAAATACAATTGGCCAATTGGGAAAAGAAGTACACTGAAGAAAACAAATCCCTTAAATATAGAATTGGCCAATTGGAGAAGGAAGTAAAAAAAACTAATAGAAGAAAACAATCTGTTAAAAATTAGAATTGGACAAATGGAAACTGATGACTCTATGAAACAGAAAAAATAAGTCAAACAGAAACGAAGCAATGAAAAATTAGATGAAAACATACAATACCTCATTGGTAAAACAACGGACCTGGAAAATCGATCCAGAAGAAACAACCTAAAAATTATTGGACTACTTGAAAATCATTATGAAAAAAAGAGTCTGGACAGTATCTTTCAAGAAAACATAAAGGAAAACTGCACTGAAGTCCTGCAACAAGAAGGTAAAATCACCATGGAAAGAATCCAACGCTCACCGCCTGAAAGAGAAACCAAATTGAAACCCCAAGAAATATAATAGCTAAATTCCAAAATTACCAGATGAAAGAGAAAATACTGCAAGCAGCTGGAAAAAATACAATTTAGATATCATGGAACCACAGTCAGGATTACACAGAACCTTGCAGCTTCTACATTAAAAGATTGTAGGGTGCGGAACATGATATTCTGCAAGGCAAAGGAGCTTGGATTGCAGCAAGGATCAACTACCAAGCAAAAATGAGCATGATATTTCAAGTGAGGAGATAGATATTCAATGAAGTAGGGGACTTCCAAACCTCCCTAATGAAAAGACCAGAGCCCAAGAAAAAATTTGATCTTCAAGTACAAGACTCAGGAGAGACATAAAAAGGTAAATGGGACAGAAAGATGCAATATGTTGTGAATAATGACAAACTGTCTACATCCCTACAAGAGAAGATGACACTTGCAACTCTTGAGAACTGTATTGTTATTATTCCATGTTAAAGGAGTATACATAAAGGGGCTGGATATAAGTGGACTTTGATGTAATGATAAAAAATAATCTAATCAAGTGGGTTAAATGGATCCAAGTAAGTGAATTAGTCTGATCTAAGAAAATGTACTGAGTGAGGAGGAGCAGACAAGGGTAAATTACATTAGAGGAGAAGACACAAAAACCTATTAGAGCAGAGGGAAGAAAGGGAGGGGGTGAGCATTGTTTGAACCTTGCTCTCATCAGATTGGGCTCAAGAAAATAACATAATCAGTTAGGTATAGAAATCTAACTTGCCCTGTAGGCAGTAGGAGAGAAAAGGGGAAAGAAAAGGGAGGGGGATAAAAGGGAGGGAAGAAGCAGTAAGGGTAAAGGGAAGAAAAGGGAAAGGGCTAATAGAAGGGGAGGGACTGAAGGAGGCAGTGGTCAAAAGCAAAACACTAGTGAGGGGAGAAGGAAAAGAAGAAAAGCATAAAGAGGGGGAAAGGATGGAGAAAAAGACACAGATAGTAATCATAACTGTGAATGTGAATGGATGAACTCTCCCATAAAACAGAAACAGATAGCAGAATAGATTAAAAACCATAATTACATATATTTTTACAGGAAACACATGAAAAAGAGTGACACATACAGGGTAAAGGTAAAAGCTGGAGCAGAATATATTTACTTCAGCTGAAGTAAAAAAAGCAGGGTAGCAATCCTGATTAGACAAAGCAAAAGCAAAAATAGATCTATGAAAGAGAGGAAGGAAACTACATCCTGCTAAAAGGCACCATAGCAAAGTAATAACATTACTAAACATATATGCACCAAATGGTATAGCATCCAAATTCTTAGTGGAGAAATTCAGGGATTACAGGAAGAAATACACAGCAAAATACACTAGTGGGGACCTCAACCTTCCCCTCTCTGAACTAGATAAATCTACCACAAAATAAACAAGAAAGAAGTTAAGGAGGTGAATAGAACATTAGAAAATTTATGTATAATGGACCTCGGGATTAAATTAAGATAGAAAGAAATATACTTTTCTCTGGTGTACGTGGCACATACACAAAAATTGACCATGTATTAGGCATAAAAACCTCACAATCCAATGCAGAAAGGCAGAAATTAAAGGAATACTTTTCAGATCATGATGCAATAAAAATTATATGTAATGAAGGGCATGGAAAGACAGACTAAAAAATAATTGGAAACTAAATAATTATCCTAAAAAATGATGGGTCAAACAACAAATCATAGAAACAATCAATAACTTCATCAAGAGAATGACAATAATGAGACAACATACCAAAACTTATGGGATGCAGCAAAAGAAGTTCTTAGGGGAAGTTTTATATCTCTAAATGCTTACATAAATAAAATACAAAAAGAGGAGATCATGATTGGACACACAACTAAAAAAACTAGAAAAAGAACAACTTAAAAATCCTCAACTAAACACAAATTAGAAATATTGAAAACCAAAGGAAAATTAATAAAATTGAAATTAAGAAAACTATTGAGTAATAAATAAAATAAGAGCTAGCTTTATGAAAAATCAATAAAATAGATAAACCTTTGGTTAATTTAATTTAAAAAAAAAGAAAAAGAAACCTAAATTACTAGTATCAAGAATGAAAAGGGTGAAGCTACCACCAAGGAAGAGGAAATTAAAACAATAATTAGGAATTATTTTGCCCAACTATATGCCAACAAATTTGACAATCTTAGAAAAATGGATATATTTACAAAAACATAAATTGCCCAGATTAACAGAAGAGTAAGTAAAATATTTAAATAACCCCATCTCAGAAAAAAATTGAACAAGCCATTGATGAACTCCCTAGGAAAAAATCTCCAGGGCCATGGATTTATATGCAAATTCTATCAAACATTTCAACAACAATTAATTCCAATGCTATGCAGACTATTTGGGAAAATAGTGAAGAAGGAGTCTTACCAATTCTTTTTATGATACAAATTGGGCTGATACCTAAACCAGGAAGAGTCAAAACAGAGAAAGAAAATTGTACACCAATATATCAAATAGATTATAGCAACTTATCACAAGAATAAACACTATGACCAGGTAGGATTTATACCAGGAATATAGGGTTGGTTCAATATTAGGAAAACTATCAGCATAATTGAGCATATCATCAACAAAACCAACAGAAACACATGATCATCTCAATAGTGCAGAAAAAGCTTTTGCAAAATACAACATCCATTCCTATTAAAAACACTAGAAAACATAAGTATAGATGGAGTCTTCCTTAAAATAATAAACAACATCTATCTAAAACCTTCAGCAAGCATTATACGTAATGGCAACAAGCTAGAAGCATTTCTGATAAGATCGGGGTGAAACAAGGATGTCCATTATCACCACTATTATCAATATTGTACGGAAATGTTAGCTTTAGCAATAAGAGAAAAAAAATTGAAGTTATTAGAATAGACAAAAAACACAAAGCTATAACTCTTTGCAGATGACATGATGATATACTTAGAGAATCCTAGAGATTAAGTAAAAACTACTTGAAATAATAAACAACTTTAGCAAAGTTGCAGGCTACAAAATAAACACACATAAATCATCAGCATTTCTATATACTACCAACAAAGCCAACAGCAAGAGATAGAAAGAGAATTTCCATTTAAACTTACTGTAGACATTATAAAATA